GTAGGGGTGTTGACTTATCTAGATGGAGAGAACTTCAAAAAGAGAAAGGAGCTGTGGCAGATATGGAAAAGTTTGTGCAGCATGTACATGGGAATCATTTTATTCCAAATACTGTTTTGGTTGACTGCACAGCTGACTCTAGTATTGCAAGCCATTACTATGACTGGTTGCGGAAAGGAATTCACGTAGTCACTCCCAACAAAAAGGCCAATTCAGGGCCGCTTGATCAAGTAAGATGTCTTTTTATACATGCAAATTTCTTTCGAGTGTTGTATCTTTGAGGATATCTAATTGCAAATTCTTGTTTCAGTAGTACGTATAATTCCAATTAACTGAAAAGAACAAGAACAAGAACATCAACCATTTCTTTACTTAGTTTATCTACCCAAGTGCGCTTTTCATTAATAGTTTTTCATCCAAAACCCATGTATTTGGGATATGTTTTTCTTTCTGACGATTTACACGGTTAACAAGCCATGATTATGCTTATTTATGGTCTCCACCAATTTTTTTTGTTCAAGTTTTATATCTTCCAGTTCTTTATCAATTTAATTATTTTCACTTTTGCTTTTTGTGACTCTTGGTTGTTACTGTTTCTCTTTGAGATGTGAGCGATGAGTTTTGATTCCTAACACTTGGTTTTTTACATTTCGAGGAGAGACTTCAGTTATACCTTCTTGTCTGAACAAAGTGGTGATAAAACCAGCTATTTACATGTTTAATTATTCTAATAATCGTGCACAAAAATTTCCAGAAATGTCTATGCAAAATGATACAATGTTAATATGAATTTGACTCTTTTCTTTTATATAAAGGATCCCAATATTTGTCTTTCAAATTTAATGTGGGGTGTATTCAATTGGGAAATTGAGGATTTGATTGGATTTATAAATTTATGGAGTTTAATAGCATTTTTATTGATTTCTGGAGATTCCATGTGAAATTTGATTGAAATCCCACAAAATTTTCTAGTAGCAATTATACTCAGCTCAGCTGCTATATTTGTTTTTTTTTAAGGATTTTATTTTGAGTTCACACTTCGACCTCCATATCTTAGTTTTATCATATTACTTTGTTTGATATGCTTGACTTGAGTCCCCCTGCAGCGTTACCATATACTGACTTGCAAGAAAAAGAGAAATTACTTATTTTTAACTTTGACTTTGATTTAATTTCTGTTTAAGAAAAATTTAGAAAAATATTAATGCATTCGGAGAATGCAATAATAGTGTTCATATCTTGTGTACGTGCATGTGTGTGTTTTTTTTGGGTTTAATCGATTATGACTTGCTTTTCTTCATGCAGTATTTAAAATTACGAGCTCTTCAACGGCAATCATATACACATTACTTCTATGAAGCTACTGTTGGAGCTGGTCTGCCAATTATTAATACATTACAAGGTCTCCTCGAAACTGGAGACAAAATATTGCGTATTGAGGGCATCTTCAGGTTTATGGAGAACTTTTGATTTATATCTTCTCTCTGTGCAAATTGAAATATTACAAGAGTAGTTCCTCTCTTTTTTAATGGAGTAATTCCTTTGTTTACATGTAAAATCTTGATGTCTGCAAATGCACACCTCATATGACTTTTAACAAAAGCCTTGCTTCTATCATTTGATGTTGCAGTGGTACTCTGAGTTATATCTTCAACAATTTCACTGGAGGACGCACTTTTAGTGAGGTGGTGGCTGAAGCAAAGCAGGCAGGTTATACTGAGCCGGATCCAAGGGATGACTTATCTGGAACAGATGTTTGCAGAAAGGTGCTATGTCCTATTTTTTGTCCGCTTAGTTATGTAGGCTTATAATGTGATGATGTTTGGTCTGTTTAATCAGTTTTACGTCCCCAAATTTTGAATGAGACCCTATAGTTTGCATTGTTGATAAAAGATCAATGCCATCTTATTTGGGCCCCCATGCCCAAACTCCAATCTCAGCTTTCTTGATTTTTGCTTCTTTGTTTTGTGTGCGATTTGCCACCTAAGTAAAACCATCAAATGCAGGTGATAATTCTTGCTAGAGAATCTGGTCTTAAGCTGGAGCTCTCTGACATCCCTGTTGAAAGCCTTGTGCCGGAACCGTTGAAGGTAAAATCATTGTCTAATGTACGTTACCAAGTGCAAAAGCTCACCATTAACATTTGAATTTTGGATGAGATGTTTTCAGGATAGTGCATCAGCCGAGGAATTCATGCAAAAACTTCCACAATTTGATCAAGAGATGAGTAAGAAAAGAGAGATAGCTGAGGATGCAGGAGGAGTAAGTATCTCTCATATGCATTCCTGTGTGATACCACAATCTTAACCTAGCAATATTTGATCAATATTTTAATCGAGTAGTTGTTTAGAAGCTTACTAGCTGTCCATGGGCCATTGGACGTCTCTTACAAATATTTGAATCATATCATTCTGGTTTCCTTCGATGATGCATTATTTCTTTACGTTATGTTGACATGCGCTATGGATTTTTATTGGCGATAATAGTTTAGAAAATGTGGATATTTTTATTTTCTGAGTTCTCTGGGCAGGGATATATAATCATATAGTAGATGACAAGCACTTTTCCCTCTTGTTTTTTTGTTTTGTTTCTGATATGTTTAAATGATTCTCATCTTCCCTCCTGACTTTTCTTTTTGATATCTGAAGGTCTTGAGATTCGTTGGGGTGGTTGACATGGTCAATCAGAAAGGGGAAGTGAAGCTGCAGACGTACAAGAATGATCATCCATTTGCTCAGCTTTCCGGGGCAGATAATATAATAGCGTTCACAACAACTAGATACAAAGCTCAACCCCTAATAATACGTGGACCTGGTGCTGGTGCTGAAGTCACTGCTGGTGGAGTCTTCAGTGACCTGTTGCGGCTTGCTTCGTACCTTGGTGCCCCGTCATAGGTGGGAAGCCCATAGCCCGAAGATTGAAATATGGTGTAACACAGCCTGAGTAGTTTAGCTTTTGGAGATGCGGATCTGTTGTGGCTCCTGAGAAGTGTAAGTGTAGCTTCTTGATATGAGGAATAGTTATTACCTGCTAGGGATTTGGGAGTATATAATTGTCGTTCATTCGGTAGTGTTTAAGCAGATGCAAACACGTTATTTGTCTCCTGAAACCGTCTCAAATCTTTTATGTACGGAACTAAAAAGAGAAATAATAATAATCATGGTTTTCAATACGTGACCCTGATTGTGTTTAAAGCAGTACTTTGACATTTACTGAGACAAACGAGTTACTCCTCTCAGTTGATCTTAGGACTGAGGTAAAACTTTGGATCTCTGAAAAACCTTGAAAGCACTTGTGCCTTGTCAGCTGAGAGGTCTGTGTTTTCCATAATCTGCTCCTTTGATGCCTTGGCAATTCCTTCGATTGATCCGATAGCCTGGTTAAGCTGAACAAAATACCCTGAATAAGAAACCAACGTATGATTATACGATTCAATTCCGTTCATTAGGATGAGTTAAAGTACCGCGTTTGCATCATGATTGTCGATGCCCGGAATGGCTGTGATCACTTTTCTCAGTATGCCTGGTGTTTGCACTGTTTGCTTCCTCTTCTCCAACAAAATTGAACAAAATGGCGATGTTTTGAGGTCCTAACTCCTAAAAATAAAAGCATTCTACATAAATACGGTCAAAATTCACACTAACCTCAGCCTTCAATTTTGTTGTGGCATCCTCTCGCTTGCACACTGTAATATTAGTGTTTGCTTAAGAGTCTTAGACAAATTACTTGGAAAACAATTCATGAATATGGTAAGTGAGCTTTGGAGAAGATTTTATTACCCCCACGAGAATGAGCTATTTTCGTTATCTTCTCGAACCCCATTTCCAAGTCCTTAACCTGAACGAACGTTGGCTTGCCAAGTTCCATCCCGAATCTTCACAGATTGAGAAACCATTTGTGTTGTTTTGACATATCAAAAATCAATTGGACAGAAGTTTCTTTCGAGTTTTGACATAGCTCACTTGAAGTAAGAACGAACAAACAAATCGTTTTGCTCCTTGGTTGGGAGCGTGATGACAACGTATAGATTTGCAAATTGCAGCTTCAGCTTCTGAACTCTGTACAGATAATAAAATTGATCACATCAAACACAAAACACAAGTGCACACACGCATACAAGAGGCACTGAAAAATGAAAGCAATTAACTCGTTCACCTGCCGAAGAATTGCGAGATGGTACCGGAATCCAAGCTAGTCATGAAAATGAATGCCACAGATGAACCCCCACAGTTGAAAATGAAGTCCTGCAGTGCAAATCCAACCATCAGATGCACCAAAATTAGTTTCTTTTCACTTCTTTTGTCCTTTTAGCATGAGATCATATGATTAAATTGAAGTAAATTACGGGGGTAATTGGGACAAAGTTGAGGCGGAAGGAGTTTGCGGCGAGGAAAGCGGAGACGAAGTTGATGAAGGACGGATGTTGTTCGTCCCTCCATGTATTGCTCATCATACAAACCCCACCACCACCACCTGCAATCACAATCCAACATTTAAGATTTCTTCACTCCATTAATTCTACCATTTCCAGCACAAATCAATCGTAATCTTTCTAATCGAAATTCTAATCAAATAGTTAACCGAAACAATAAAATTATCCAGAATTTGAATCAAACAGATAATTGCTCCACTGGAAAATGATCGAACTCAGACTAATTCAAATTAAGAACTCAGTTTCTAAATTTTCCGAGGAAAAATGAGAGGGGTGAATTGATGAATCGGTGAAAAGGAAAAGGAAAAGTACCTGAATTCATAGATTTTTGTGGAAATTGAGCTGTTTCTTTCACGTTCGCCATTCCCAGAGCTCCCAGAGAGAGAGAATCGGGAGAGAGAGCCAAGGGAGAGAGAGCGAAGCGGGCAAATTGAGGCGGTATGTAATGTGGAACTGTTATTCAAATATTAACTGCGGTAGTTGTCTCTATTTACGAAAAGTACCACAAGAAATGGGCCAGGCCCATATCACATTCAGCCCAAATTTCCAACGACTTGTCCTGCTTCGTCTCTTGTTTTCTCACTTGAGACATTCAGAGAGAGAGAGAGAGAGAGATAATGGCGTCCTCGGCTGCTTCCTCACTCTCCGTTACAGCGTCCTCAAATTCGCCTTCCAAACGCCTTTTGTTCGACCGCCGTTACGGTTGGGTGTAAGTATCTCTCTCTCTCTCTCTCTCTCTCTCTCTAAACGTAATTAATTAAGCGTGAAATAATTAGGATTAATTTTTCAGAATTGATGACTTGAAAGACCCATCAGAGGAAGCTCTTGCTGGTGGCCGAGGGATGTAAGTTTTTTTATTTTTGAAATACTTTAGCTTGAAACCCACTGGTTGGTTAGTGAGAAACAAGAAGAAAAAGAATTGGGATATAATTGGGATGTTATTAATTTTCACCAGTTGGAAACAAAAATTGGAAATTTGTTATAGTCCTCAGTTTAAGCCTCCATTATTTGTGCTTTGGTTCAGGTTTTGCATACTGCCGCTTGCAAAAACTTTGATTAAGATGGCTTCGCATTCGGTATGATGATGAATTTCCAGCTCATAATTATCCTAAAACTTTGATTAAGATGGCTTCGCATTCGGTATGATAACATTTGGATGACACGTTTGGGACTGAAGCTTGTATTTTTGTATGATCAAGGATTCTTTATTTTTTGGTTAAGGATTAAGTATGATTTAAGTTTTGACCGAACGGAATGATGCTTTAAACTCGAACAAAAACTGACCCAACAGAATGAATCAATAGTGATTTATATTCTGTCAGCATTTGCTTTTATAGCATGTTGCTGTTTCCATTGAGCTAGAGACTTTGCCCCTGATTGCCATTGAGACTTAGCTTGCAAGTAACCTAGTAATAGTTCTTGGTTTGTGCATTTGATTCTTGTTTTCCCACGCAAGCCATTAACCTTCTGTGCTGATTTTATTGGATAAAAATACATATAGACTGTTTGTTTGTTGTCCGTTTAGATAAATTTAGAAATCCATTGGTCAACAAACACCAAAAGGCTTTAGAATCTCACTGTAAGAAATGATTTACATTGCTAGACGTCAAGGATAACCCAGAGTCTTTCCTCTATGCAAGGATATCTGCTGAGGAGTTGGCTGATCCCTGGATTCAGGGAATTTGTGAGCCAAGGAGCACAAAATATCCTGTAAAGTTGAGTTTCACCGACCCATCATCATGCATTAGCAGGTTCACCATAGAAATTTTCTCAGCAGAAAAAAAAAAGGTGTGGCTTTGCGAGATAAAAAACATAAAGTTCACCTTGTTTGCAGGCTGGGCAGTGGTAGACCTAAACTGTAGCAAGTACATGATGTTCAACCTATCTGGAGTCGTTAGATAGTGGTCATCAAGAGAATACGTGTTAAGCAGATGATACCTAAATTATAAACCGAGTAGCAGTCGCTAGACTTCTGCATATGTTTCCTTTCTCGTATTTTATGTGGATACAGTTGTCCTAGTTGGGATAGAAAATGGCAGGTTGCAGATACATATAAGTACGTTTTAATCATATGTTCCTATATATTCAAGATCTTGTTGGGTTTTAAAATCATGATATCTGTTTATTTGTTATATTTTAGGTCCTTAAATAATATATTTATATATGCCTTGTATGTATTTCGTGTTCACTGTAAAAATTCTATTCAGTTGCTTGCCTTATGGCGAATTCTTCCAGCAAAGCTTTGTAGAAATGACCTGTCTTATGTAGATTAGCTCTGTCTCTGCTTCTTAGGCCGTGGGATATAGAAAATGTTAGATATTTGATTGCTATGTTACTGAACATGAAAAACCATTCCATTCAACAATTCTCTGATGCTGAAAGAATGATAAATTTTAATTTGTCCTACGTCTTACCCTTATTGCCTGACAGATTAATGGTGCAGCAAACTCAGCAGTGAAAGCTTTTGAAAGGCCAGACCTGCTTTCTCCGCAGCAACTGCAAGCGGGTCTTTACAACGAGCTCCACAAAATTAAGTCTTCTTTGGTAAAACCGGAATTGAACCATTTGTTACTCAAAGGAAATCTCTCGTCAAAAGAGGCCAGTTGCTCTTCTAGTAAATCATAGATTACTTAGAATGATTTGATTTCTTGAATCCCACATAGGAATACAGTCCAGAACTACTTAAGCCGTCGATTTAGATATTGTTTTTTCAGGTTGTTAGGGTCAGCATTGTATCTTGTACGAAATAATATGGCGTTGTCGATTTGATTGTTGCGAACCTTGTCTCATTGTTCCGCTTTATAAATCGGAGGTGAACGTGATTTTAAGTATCCGGTTGATCATTCTTAAGCTGAATTGACTAGCTTCGGTTTGGTGGTATAGAAGCGTTAGGCCATGAAGGAACCTAAGGAACAATTAGAGCATTTGTGGACTCGAACTTGGTTTCCAACGATCCAACTGCGAACGAAAAACGAACGAAAAACCAATTAGAGCATTTTTGGACTCGAACTTGGTCTCCAACGATCCAAATGCGAACGAAAAACGAGTCGTAGTCCAGATTTGAGAACAAAGAAACCATCCATGGTCCATCAAGATTAAGAAAATGGGTTGTAATAATGGTAATTATGAAGAAAAGACATGTCAAATGGTACTTAAACGTGGCGATCAAACCACGGCCCTGCCCATTGTCACATCATCCACCCCACCACCGCCGATTCCCACCTTCCTCTTTAATTAATATTTCTACCTGCACAACCCAACGTTTCCCAACCTTCGAAGCTTTCAAGTGGATGACACAGTTTATCTCCCATGTCTTCCGTAATCAAGCCTTCATCTTCAAGTAATGCTGCCCATGTTCTTGCTTAATCACCTTTTGTTAGTTTTGTTTCCTTGGTAATAATTTGTGCTTGCATGTTAATCACCTTTTGTTAATGGCGGCAGCAGCAGCAGCAGGAGATATTAAAGTTTTCACAAGAAGAAGATTTAAGACTAATAAGCGTTTGGAACAAAGAGATGATGAGATAAAAAACAAGACTGCAGAGTTGGAGCCAAAGAATTTTCAAAGCGTGGCTTCTTCTTCTGCTACTCCTTGGTAATTAATTAATTAACTACTTTAATTACTACCAATCTCCCCCTTTTCCGATTAATTACTGGCTAGTAGTTTAGTTTTGACCCCAGGAGCACACAGATTACAACACAAGGTAAATGTCATTAATTCATGCATGCATGCTGAATCGCTGCTGTTGTACGCAGATTACAAACAAGATATGTTGTATAATATATTTGTTAGTTTTTTTTTAATTATCTTGTTGTTTAATTGTTGTTGTTTTCGCTTACTATTAGTTTAATTAAAGAAATGGAGGGAAGGGCAGTAGGCTGCCACAGCAGTGTTAGGAACATTCACCTTCGGGTTTGAGGGTCGTACGTTGTTCTACTACGAAGAGCTAATATCGTATAATCCTCTGTTTTGTTTAAAATAAATAAATCATTGTTGTTGTTTTCAAGAGAAGATGTACTTGGGATTGCTGTCAGAGAAGCTAAGTTAGCAGCTTACGACGATATGTATAAACGACTAGATACCAAAGAAGGAGAGTTGGATATCTATAAACTAGCTAGAGCAAGGGAAAAGAAGACAAGGGACCTAAACCAAGTGAGGTGCATCAAGGATGAGGATGGAAAGGTTCTTGCTACAGAGAACGCGGTTAAAGACAGATGGAGAGGTTATTTTCATAATCTTTTCAATGAAGGACATGAAAGGAGTGCTTCTTTAGGGGAGTTGAGTAACTCAGAAGAGTGTAGAAACTACTCCTTTTATCGTCGAATCCGGAAGGAAGAAGTGGTTGTAGCTTTGAAGAAGATGAAGCATAGAAAAGCAATAGGCCCAGACGATATACCAATCGAAGTGTGGAAAGTTTTGGGAGAGACAGGTATAACATGGCTCACTGACCTTTTCAATAGGATTTTGAAAACGAAGAAGATGCCAAATGAGTGGCGAACGAGCACTTTGGTGCCTATCTACAAGAATAAGGGCGACGTACAAAATTGCATGAACTATAGGGGTATTAAGCTAATGAGTCATACAATGAAGCTCTGGGAGAGAGTCATTGAGCATAGATTGAGGCAAGAGACACGGGTTTCGGACAACCAATTCGGGTTCATGCCAGGGCGCTCAACCATGGAGGCAATCTATCTCTTACGAAGATTGATGGAAAGATATAGAGATGGGAAAAAGGATTTACACATGGTCTTTATAGATTTGGAAAAAGCGTATGATAGGGTCCCAAGAGACATTCTTTGGAGGATTTTAGAGAAGAAAGGAGTACGAGTAGCATATATCCAAGCTATAAAGGATATGTATGAAGGAGCAAAGACTGCCGTAAGAACTCATGAAGGACAAACCGAAAGCTTTCCCATAACTGTAGGATTACATCAAGGCTCATCCTTAAGTCCTTACCTTTTTGCGTTGGTAATGGATGAGTTAACAGGACATATTCAAGATGATATTCCTTGGTGTATGCTTTTCGCAGACGATATAGTGTTGATAGATGAAACTCAGGAAGGGGTAAATGCAAAGCTTAACCTTTGGAGAGAAGTGTTGGAATCTAAAGGTCTTCGCCTAAGCCGATCAAAGACAGAATATATGGAGTGCAAGTTCAGTGCAAATGGAGGCCAAAACGAGTTAGGGGTGAGGATCGGAGATCAAGAAATACCAAAGAGCGACCGTTTTTCGTTACCTAGGATCTATCTTGCAAAAGAACGGAGAATTAGATGGAGATCTCAACCATAGAATACAAGCTGGATGGATGAAGTGGAAGAGTGCATCCGGCGTGTTGTGTGACCGCCGTATGCCACTGAAGCTCAAGGGAAAATTTTATAGGACGGCAATAAGGCCGGCGATGCTGTATGGCACAGAATGTTGGGCGGTGAAACATCAACACGTACACAAAATGGGTGTAGCGGAGATGAGGATGCTTCGTTGGATGTGTGGGCACACGAGAAAGGATAAGATTAGGAATGAGGATATCCGGGGTAAAGTAGGAGTAGCCGAAATTGAAGGAAAGATGAGAGAAAATCGGTTACGGTGGTTTGGACATGTGCAAAGAAGGCCTACTGACGCTCCGATTAGAAGATGCGACTATGGGACAGAGGTTCAGGGCCGAAGGGGTAGAGGAAGACCTAGGAAAACTTTGGAAGAGACTCTAAGAAAAGACTTAGAGTACTTGGATCTAACGAAGGACATGACACAGGATCGAGCACAATGGCGTTCTAAGATTCATATAGCCGATCCCACTCAGTGACTTGGATTTTCCAAGTCTCCAACCAAGAAGTTTTCCTCACTCGGGAAACTTAAGGGAACACTACCCCAACCTACATGCTCCACTCAGAAAGCTTCAATCAACATACAAGCTTCAACAAAAGAAAATTCAAAGAACTTAGCGAAGAAGGCTTTGGTGTATTTAACACAATACGTTGAAATGAAGGAAAGCTTATTTATTGATATTCCCCGATAAGCTACAAATATGTACATATACATGAGTCAAAATAAAACACACAAGAGGGAGCCTTCACAAAGGTTGCTTAGGAGAAGTCTCAGCAGTCGGTAGAGCCCCAGAAAGAGAAAGGCACCGGAGGGGGATCATTTGGAGCCTCAGTACTGGACAGAACCCTAGAAGGAGGAGGCATCAGAGAGGTTGATCATTTGGAGCTTCATTACGCGGTACAGCCCCAGAAGACGAAGGCAATAAATGCCTTTGGAACAAACCCACAAATCTCTGATGATCAAGTAAAACCTGACCATCAGTTTCCTTCATCTGGTCAAGCTTCCTCTTCATGTTTGTAGCATAGTCATGTGCGAGCCGGTGCAACTGTTTATTCTCTCATGCTTGAGCCCTCTAATCTCCTGTTTGAGACTCATCACTTCAGCCGCCAATGATTCAACTTGGCGGGGTTCGAGCAAATAGGCGTTGGGCCATATTAGACACAGAACCTGCACACTGAACACTGAGAGCCAGCGAATCCTTAACAGCTAACTCATCAGACCGTTTTGGAAAGTAGTCTGTTATCTTTGGGAGTGAGAAGGTTCCTGGCCACCACCGCAGCGGTCATATCATTCTTCATCACGGAATCCCCAACGGTAAGAGGACCAGTAGTTGAGGAGACGAAGGATGGGCGCCATATGTTGTCTGGAGAAGGCGGGGCTGCCTCTTCAACAAGGTTCAAGTCAAAACGACGGTCGGAGGGGCCAGACATTTTCAAAGGTGTTGAAGAGAGAAGAGGTCGGACAAATCAAGATCTTAGAAGTGCAAGAATGAAGCTTCTACTGGTGGAGATTCAAGTGTGCTTTGGAACTTAATGCCAGCCTCTATAAAAATCTGCACTCGACGGAGCTTCAGAAATCAAAGAGGCGCCTGCTCAGAAATCGAAGAGGCGTTTGCTTTCTCAAAAGTTGGGCTGCTTAGAGATCACGAGGGTTGATCTCAGAAATCGAATGAGGCCGTTTGCTTTCTCAAAAGTTGGGCTGCTCAAAGACCACGAAGGCCGATCTCAGAAATCGAAGAGGCGCTCGCTTTCTCAAAAGCTGGGCTCCCTAGAGACCACGAGGGCCGATCTCAGAAATCGAAGAGGCACCTACTTTTCCAGCCTTGTCAGCACCTGTCACACGCACACTCAGCTTTGCGGAAATTATGGGCATTCTGTCAAAGACTTCTGGGGAAGTAGAAAACACATGAATCTTACTGTTCAATCACCCACTTCCCACACGCAACAATAGCTCATGGGTACCACAGATAACTTTGCCAAAGTTCTCTGCCAAAGTTGAGCACGTGAAGCTTGCAGCTCCCACTACATCGCTCTGACCAAGAAGGGTAAAAGAATAGCAAAGAAACAGCACTAACAAAGTTTAGACCCATAAATTTTGAAGGTCTAGCTACCATATTATTACCCACAAGGGTAAAGGAACAGTACCACTGCTGGATAATTGGAAAGTCCATGTATGTCAACCTCTGTGCTTCGTGGCAAGGTAGACTAGCAAACATGCCCAACCTTTACTCACATTCGAGAAAACACTCCCAATAAGATTGCTTGCTCCAAAATCGAAGAGGCACCGTCCTCCGAATCTAAAGAGCCAGACTCCCAACATGACTACTTTCTTAAAAATCGAAGAGAGGGTAAAGGAACAGTACCATTGCTGGATAATTGGAAAGTCCCTGTGTGTCAACCTCTGTGCTTCGTGGCAAGGTAGACTAGCAAACATGCCCAACCTTTACTCACATTCGAGAAAACACTCCCAACAAGATTGCTTGCTCCAAAATCGAAGAGGCACCGCCCTCCGAATCTCGAGAGCCACTCTCCCAACATGATTACTTTCTCAAAAATTGAAGAGACTGCTCCCCGAATCTCGAGAGCCAGACCCCCAGCATGATTGCTTTCTCAAAAATCGGTGAGGCACCGTTCTCCGAATCAATCGAAGAGGCGCTCGCTTTCTCAAAAGCTGGGCTGCTCAGATACCACGAGGGCCGATCTCAGAAATCGAAGAGGGCATCTACTTTTCTAGCCTTGTCAGCACCTGTCACACGCACACTCAGCTTTGCAGAAATTATGGGCATTCTGTCGAAGACTTCTGGTGAAATAGAAAGCACATGAATCTTACTGTTCAATCACCCACTTCCCACACGCAACAATAACTCATGGGTACCACAGATCACTTTGCCAAAGTTCTCTGCCAAAGTTGAGCACGTGAAGCTTGCAGCTCCCACTACATCGCTCTGACCAAGAAAGGTAAAAGAATAGCAAAGAAACAGCACTAACAAAGTTTAGACACATAAATTTTGAAGGTCTAGCTACCATATTATTACCCACAAGGGTAAAGGAACAGTACCACTGCTGGATAATTGGAAAGTCCCTGTGTGTCAACCTCTGTGCTTCGTGGCAAGGTAGACTAGCAAACATGCCCAACCTTTACTCACATTCGAGAAAACAGTCCCAACAAGATTGCTTGCTCCAAAATCGAAGAGGCACCGTCCTCCGAATCTCGAGAGCCAGACTCCCAACATGACTACTTTCTCAAAATCGAAGAGAGGGTAAAGGAACAGTACCATTGCTGGATAATTGGAAAGTCCCTGTGTGTCAACCTTTGTGCTTCGTGGCAAGGTAGACTAGCAAACATGTCCAACCTTTACTCACATTCGAGACACAACACTCCCAACAAGATTGCTTGCTCCAAAATCGAAGAGGCACCGCCTTCCGAATCTCGAGAGCCAGACTCCCAACATGATTACTTCCTCAAAAATCGAAGAGACACTGCTCTTCGAATCTCGAGAGTCAGACCCCCAGCATGATTGCTTTCTCAAAAATCGAAGAGGCATCGTTCTCCGAATCTCGAGAGCCAGATACCACAGACCACTTTTTCAAAGTGCTCTGACAGAGTTAAAACATGTGAAACTGGCAGCTCCCACTACCGTGCTATGACCAAGCAGGGTAAAGGAATAGCATTACTACTTGTTGTTAGGGGAGACTCCTATATATGTCGACCTCCATCCCAACGGACAGGCAGACCTGCAAAAATGCTCAACCCTTCATCATATCTGAGAGGGCACTCCCAACAAAGCCTTTCGAAATATTCAGCTTTCTTTCCCCCCGATAATACCTCTGCAAACAAGCTATACTAGAGCAAGAATATCTCATATCATCAGGGTTAAAAGCAAGAGTATCCCATATCATGCTTTTTCCCTATTTTTTCTTTTGGCCTTGTTTTTACCTGCAAGACAAGGAGAAAGAGAGCAATATGTCAGCACTTGGAATCAAGCTTCCAGCCAGGAACTGACTGCCTGGAACCCCTTACCTGATTACTTACCTGGCATTGCTCTCGAGTACTCATCTTCATCATCTTATGTTTCCAGGGAAGATTCCGCATCTGCTTGAGGAACAGATAGGGCAAGTGCGAAGGATACAAGGAAGCATGTGGAGACAAGCGTAACAGCACACGTGCCGATACATCCATTACTCTGTCAAAAGCAAAAGTATCCCATATCAGCAGGGTGGAACGTACTCTAGATTTGATGGACTTGTTTTGACCCTCAAATTCTTCAGTCGGCCTTATACTCTGGAGGAAACCAGAAAACCCTCCAGCTCAGTTCAAGAATAAGCCTGTGGAAAGTTACTTCTTCAAAAGCAAAAGTATCTCATATCATCTCTTCTCATTTTTCTTCTCTTTATCCTTCATGCTGCTGCAAGATGGGGAGAAGGTGAACAATCATCAGTCGGAGCTCTGATTGCTTACCTTGTCTGTCACCTCTTTCAGCAGACCCCCTAGCTCGGCGACTTGGGGGACTCCTACTACATGGTTTGTATCGCACTTGACCAAGCCTGAAACTACAAGTAAGCTTCAAGTGAAATTGATACATTACCTTGTGCATCTCCACCAGTTAAAGATACCACCCCTGGATGGAGGAAGAGTACTTCCAGAGAAGATGCCACATCTACCTATGAGACAGATAAGGCAAGTCAAGACGACACCACACTCCGATACTTAGAAGTTTCGTGATTACGAGATCATTCTCCCACAATATTTCCTAATGTCATTTGTACTAAATCATTCACTCGTACTCACTAAAGGAGAGCTTGAACCTATGTACTTTGTGTAAACCCTTCACAATTAATGAGAACTCTTCTATTCCGTGGACGTAGCCAATCTGGGTGAACCACGTACATCTTGTGTTTGCTTTCCTATCTCTATCCATTTATATACTTATCCACACTAATGACCGGAGCAATCTAGCGAAGATCACAAAAAGCGACCGTTTTCGTTACCTAGGATCTATCTTGCAAGAGAACGGAGAATTAGATGGAGATCTCAACCATAGAATACGAGCTGGATGGGAAAGAGTGCATCCGGCGTGTTGTGTGACCGTCGTAGGCCACTGAAGCTCAAGGAAAATTTTATAGGACGGCAATAAGGTCAGCGATGTTGTATGGCAGAGAATGTTGGGTGGTGAAGCATCAACACGTACACAAAATGGGTGTAGCGGAGATGAGGATGCTTCGTGGGATGTGTGGGCACACGAGAAAGGATAAGATTGGGAATGAGGATATCCGAGGTAAAGTAGGAGTAGCCGAAATTGTAGGAAAGATGAGAGAAAATCGGCTCTGGTGATTTGGACATGTGCAAAGAAGGCCGACTGACGCTCCGGTTCGAAGATGTGACTACGGGATAGAGGTTCAGGGCCGAAGGGGTAGAGGAAGACCTAGGAAAACTTTGGAAGAGACTCTAAGAAAAGACTTAGAGTACTTGGATCTAACGGAGGGCATGACACAAAACTGAGCGCAATGGCGTTCTAGGATTCATATAGCCGACCCCACTTAGTGGGAAAAGGCTTTGTTGTTGTTGTTGTTGTTGTTGTATGAGGCTTACTTGTCTGTCAAACAAGAAGGAATAATTTGCTCACAACGATCGTTCTCTTTCCTTGCATCCTTCAATGTTACCTAAACTAAAATAGTACCTAATAGTTGTATAATTTAATTTAGGTTCAGTTCCAATACAAAAGTTGAAGAAATGGGACCAGCGGCAGATGCTAATAACATCTTCAGTAGCTATGTTGATGACTGCTCTGCGACTCCTTGTCGTGTCACTGATGTATCAACTGCGCAGGATAAATCTACGTCTAAGAAGAGAGGCTACGATGCCATATACTTGAGGCACAAGCAACCGAAGAGCGTCAGAATACAAATGGAAGATAAATCCAAAGGAGAAATACTTATTGGTGGCAAGCGCACGAAATCTCCAAAACCTGTAAAATTGAAAGAAACTAGGTCATCCAAGTGTGCTACTGCTCAAAAGTTGCCCAATGTTGGACGTTATAACAGAGTTTCTGTTCGAAAAGTACAAAACGATACACAAGCTCAATCCATGAAACAAGATCAGAAGGCACATGGAGATATTTTAGGAAAGCGCAATAAATCTGTTCATCAAGTAGGGCCTTCTGATTCAACCCTGCGATGGCATGCACAACCTCAGATTGATTGGAGCAAAGATGTATCAGACAATATTAAAGACAAGGAGGAATGGTGGGAAGAAGAAACGAAACTGTTCTGTAAACGAGCAAATTCTTTCATTGCCTGCATGAATCAAGTCCAAGGTGGCAAATGGATTTTTTGAATCCAAGCATATATATGCAATTTTTTAGAAGTTGATTGGTTAATTTTCCAAGCCTTTTCTCATAGCACAATGTTAACTTTTGCAGGAAATAGACATTTCTCAGCGTGGAGAGGTTCCGTAGTGGACTCGGTTGTTGGGGCATTTTTAACTCAAAATGCTAAAGATCAGTCATCAAGGTAAGATGTTATTACTCCTTGACCTGCTTATATTGTCCTATGGAAAACGGTAAATGTGGACCTCTTGTTGGTGTGCAGTTCTGCCTTTATGTCACTTGCTGCAAAATATCCGACTATTCAAATGGAGCAAGCATGTGATTATGCAAGGAACGAAAAAAATGTGAGAAGCATTGTTGGTTGGGATTTTTTAGAGTACATTTATTACACCAGAAGAACAACAAAAGAGAGAAGTAATGATACAATGGACTCTTTAGACTGGGAAGCTGTTAGAGAAGCACCTCTAACTGAAATTTCAAAAAGCATTTTGGGAAGAGGAATGAACAATAAGCTCGCAGAACGCATCAAGGTAAAACTTGTGGTGATTGAGAACAGGTTAGGTTGATGAATTTCATTTGAAAAATGTCAATATATGTTTGCACTCAACTTTTCAGGGTTTCCTTGATATACTGAAGAGAGATCATGGCAGCATTGATCTCGAATGGTTAAGAGATGCCTCCCCGGAAGGAGTAAAGTAAGCTCATTGAAGAGACAAATATTATTTTACATAATTAAATGTTCAAAGGAATGTGGACATTTAAGGCTTCCCTATGATGCAGGAAGTATCTGTTGAGCATAGATGGAATTGGCTTGAAATGCGTTGAGTGTGTGCGGCTTTTAGCACTGAAGCAGCATGCCTTCCCGGTAAGACATTGAAGTAGCATGAATCGGAAGTCAAGAGCTTCATTCTGCCGCTTGATAATTTTCTTTTATCTTCTGTTGCATTAGGTTGATACTAATGTTGCTCGGATAGTTATGCGACTTGGTTGGATCCCTATTCAGCCATTGCATTGGAAGCTTCAACATCATCATCTAAAGAGGTCAGAAATATAACATATATGTAGAGAGAGAATTTCGATTGAGGGATCCTTCAAATAATGTGAAACTAGAACTTTCAGATCGTACTTGAACATCTAACATTCTTTCTGCATAGGTACCCGACGGTAAATTCAATACATAAATATATGTGGCCAAGGCTGTCTGCCCTTGACCTACAAACACTGTATGGCTTTTTGTTTCTAAGAGATGAACAAACATTATAAGATTTCTTTTGACGATTCAATATAATCTCCATGCCATAAAATTGTTGCTTTCCAGTTTACAGAATGTATTAAGACAAATATTACTGGTTGATTAGAGTACTAATCTTTGACAGGTATGAATTACATTGCCAAATGATTACATGCGGCAAGGTATACATCTTGTTCATTCAACCTCTGTTACACGAAAAGAATATATATTTTTCCGTATTCCTTGTTTCTCCATCATCACATTCTCAGTTGGTACTTGTACAGGTTTTCTGTAGAAAAAATCAACCAAATTGCAATGCATGTCCGATGAGAGAAGAGTGCCAACACTTTGCAAGGTTTCATCTCTCGTTCTTTGCTCAATTATGTATATCTTCTACTTATTTTTTGGACATAATTAGAATCATTTAGATTCAATTTGCAAAGTAAAAAGAAAGAGAAATCAACCTGGCAATTGAGCAGTATTACGTTGTTCGATAGTCTACGAATCTATGCAATGTGACATATTTTTGCTACAACGTATAAGTTGATCTTCTCTTCAGGTATAGTTTCACACTATCTTTTGATTGTAATGTATCGCAAAACTCATTATCCAACGTTCATGACATGGGATATTAGACTTCCCATATTTGACTAAAAAAATTAAAATCATACGGTGCTTCTATGTTAATGATATTTCAAGTAACAAATATGTTTCATGAAGTGCAAGGAGTGAAGGGGACATTGAAGATTTGTGCATAAAGGTTCACGATAAGAATCCTACAATCAAAGTCAATCCTAAAGGGTGTAAAATTGTAAAGGCTGATCATGCACAAAGTAAGCAGAAGTGTTTCAACCGAACAAGTGAGTCGCTTCAAGAAGTTGTCATGTCAAAATCTAGTGCTCCAGTTCCAACTAGTCGCGCACCCAGATCGAAGCGCATGAGCCAATTTAGGACAAAGCATCAAGTGTAAGCAACATTTATTAACCTAAAATAGTTTGATTTTCGTAGGGTGAGATATGAATGAGGTTTTTAGGAGCTTATTTTAATCTTCGAAAGAAATTGTTTAGTACGTACAACTGTAATTTAAACTTTAAAAGTTCATATAGGTACTGACAAAAGTATATTCAACTGCAGCTACGAACTTCCAGACGCTCACCACATTTTGAAAGGGGTTAGATATCTCAAGCATTCTTGCTCTAAAACATTATACTGGCATAAATGTAGATGTCTTTGACTTCCAGACACTGATATTTTTTTTTTCCATGAAAACAAATGCAGCTAGAGAGAAGAGAACCTGATGATCCCTGCCCTTACCTTCTTGTTGTATGGTCATCTGGTAAGAGCGATTAGCCAATTGTTGTGTCTGGTTGTATTTTAATCTTCCAAAAGTATGCAGTCCTTGAACCGACATTGGTGTGATGGTGTTGTTTGTGCAACTTTTGATTCAGGCAAACTATCCAATCCTGTTGGATCAACTGAAGGTCAAACCGCTTGCTTTGATGAGAATGGACAATTTTTGGGCAGCAATGGTGAAGACACTGCCCAGACTGTTCTAGGAACAATTTTGGTGAGGAAGAACCCATAACCCTCGGCATGTATTTTAACCTGCATTTTTTCATATGCCAAAACTACAAAAGATAACAAAAACTAACCTCATACAGATACCATGTCGCACGGCAATGCGAGGAACTTTTCCTCTCAACGGAACATACTTTCAAGCTAATGAGGTAAAGCCTATTTCTTTTCTCATTTAAACTTGACATTTATTTAGGAAGTATATTATTTGAACTATCCAAACTGGTATGATGAAATAATAATATGAACAACAGGTGCTAGCTGATTATAAAACAAGTGAAAACCCGATCGATGTTCCTGTGTCATCGATACAACATTTGAGGAGACGAACGCTATATTGTGGAAACAGTGTCTCGGGAATATTTATAGGTATATGTATGTGTTTTGGAATTGATTACAGTGGTTGGAAAATTTTGCTTGTTAGCTTACATTCTCCGTACCAGGTTTATTGACCAAAGAAATCCGGGACTGCTTTAAGAAAGGTATGATGTGAAACATTGATTTGCATGTAGCACTTATGAGTGAATGTATGTGGTTCCTTGCTACAGACGGCGAAATAATGCAGTTGCTGATAAAATTAGTAATTATGTTTTGCAGGATTCATTTGTGTGAGAGGGTTTGACCGGAAAACAAGGGAGCCGAAACCTTTAGCAAGAAGATTACACCGCAGCTAATCTTCTGAATATGATCAGAAGATTACAAGAAAGGAGAAGGTATGTACACCGGCCTGCTGCTGCTGCTATTTTGGAATATGCTCAGATTGCAATTCCATCAACAGTTGTACTAGTGAAGCTTACTAGTACTGTGTATCCACAATCCATCTCTTGTTTGTGCTTGGAATTGATGTGGTGGTCGAACTGCAGATGGACAATTAACCAGTAAAGACTAATTTTGTTGGACTTAAACTTTCCTAATTTCTTGTGTCTCATAAAAAGGAATGATATTTATTTTTGTGGGATCATTGACTAGCTTTGGTTTGGTCTGCTAAAAATATGACAGATCTCAATTGTTTTGCTTAAGTGAGGTTTTGTTGCGTAAGCACTAATCAATGAGATTGATCTACATAAAGTTGGTAAACTTGAGACCGCCTCGAGTTAAGTTCTAACTCGGTTGAATTGAACTCACATGTACACAAAACTATACCTCAATCCAAATTGTAAAGGTTGAGTTCGAGTTGGCTTAACCTAACCCGCCCGATTTAGATAGCTAACATATAATAATGTACATATCATATAACTCCATCACTCCACTCCACCTCCCACGTTACAAATACAATGAGAGGAGTGGTAAACAAATGGCACTCCCTCCATCACTCTACCCCCAAATCAAATCTCAACCACACAAATTTCAATTGACTTTTGACTTCATAAAATCAACGTCGTGCACACAAAAGAGCCCAACACTCAATCCAAACATCAAATAAAAAATTCAAGTCCTTTCCATTTCCCTCAGGGCAACTCCACCCTGGTGGAAGCCCCCTAGGGCTATCCACTATGCTATCCACCCAGTTAACAGTAACTGCCCTAATGAACAGTAATCGTTTTTTGCATCTCCATTGTTACATTTGAATAGCCCTGGCAATTGGCAATAAAATATTACTATTTTTTTATTTATAAAATAATACAAAATAATTTTATTTGTAATTTCGGATAAGATTTTTAATTGTTCTTGTGCCATGTGTCATTATCAGAAAAGACAATTATTGGTGATGAATTTCCGATAAGATTTTTTAATCGTTCTCATTGCGCCACGTGTCATTATCGGAAAAGACAATTATTGATGACGGATTTCTGATAAAATTTGTAATCGTTCTCGTTGCGCCACATGTCATTATCGGAAAAGACAATTATTGGTGACGGATTTCTGATAAGATTTGTAATCGTTCTTGTTACACCACGTGTTATTATCGGAACAGACAATTATTGGCGATGGATTTTCGATAAGATTTTTATTTGTTCTCGTTGCGCCACGTGTCATTATCCAAAAAGCCAATTATTAGAGATGGATTTCCGATCAGATTTTTAACCAATCACGTCGTGCCATGTGTCACAATCTATTTACAATCTTTGAGGATAAATTTCCACCAGATTTTTAACGAATGACAGCATGCCATGTGGCATTATCTATAACCTAATCGTTTCTGAATCCTTTATATAATCCACCATCCATCCTCAGAAATCTCAAACCAATTTTCTCAAGATCTCTATCATTATTCATAGTTTCTACTTCATTCTTCACCAAAATCTCTATCATTATTCATAGTTTCTACTTCATTTTTCACCAAAATCTCTATCATTATTCATAGTTTCTGCTTCATTCTTCACCAAAATTATTTATGAAATTGATAGAAAGAATTTTTTTAATTTTAGTTGACGTAGATTGTTCTCTATCATAATTCCTTGATGTTATGAAATTTGCATTTTTATTGAGTGTTTGCAGAAACCTTGCCTCTTACAATTATCAGAAGGCCGCCTCACCATCTCAGTAATCTCTTTTTACTTACCATTTTTAAATTGTTTATAGAAAAGCTTACAAAGTGATTTATGAAATTGATTGAATGTAGATTTCTTCAATTTTGTGCGACTTTTAACTTCTATTTTTGATGTGATGAAATTTGAGTTTTTGCATAATTGGTCCCATAGTTTGCCTATTTTCTCTGTTGCTCATGTTCGATATTATCTTATGCAGAGAATTACAAAGAAACAACCATAATTGTAATAAAGCTTGATAATGGCGATATTCTTGTTGTTTCTGGTTCTAGGAGGACAATATCTGATGATTTCAATACTTATATATAGGTAAGGGTTTTCTTTAACACTTTTTAATTTAACATTTTTTATTAGTTTTTAACGCTTTTTCTTTTTTAATTTAACATTGTTTACTATTTATATTATGGCTTTCTCAAATCTGTCAACTAGTAATATTTATATCTTTTCAGTATTTGATGTTGTTAACAAGGTGGACTATTTGAAAAGTAAGGTCTTGGTTGCAAGAGCAGGGAGTTTATTATTTGAAACGTGGTGTTTTTAATCTGTTGAAGGCAAATTTTTCTGTAGTCAATAGCTGTCTTATGGAGGTACTTGAACTGTGATGAAACTATAGGTTTTATAGTAATGAGATTTGTGAATGGGATTAGCCATATGTTTTTTCTTTGATATTTAAAGAAAAGGGTTTCACTTGCGATCAAAAAGTTAGTGGAATTGTCTAGGTTTTATGCTATTGGATTAGGTGCCATGTACCTAGAAAAGTATGTGAAGTCTAAACTGTGTAAACTTACTTGTATTGATGTCAAAAGTACCTTGAACTTGGCTGAACGTGAACTTCTACTTGCTTGCTTGAATGATCCATGCACTGGGGGCCACATAACAGGTTAGTTTTATGTGCAATACTATTAAAGTAATCTGATTTTATTTTAATACAAAATAATATTTTATATCCTGTTAAATTAATTTTATCTGATTATATTCTTAATTTTTTTTAACAGTTAGACTCTTTACACCTAAAGGGGTTGAAGAACTATTGCAAAACACAATTCTTGATCTTATGAAGAATTATTATGGACTTTTGGCACGAAATTATGAAAGATCAATTCTTCTCATCTTTAAGATGCAAGTAGTTGAACCTGAAGATCCATATTTGCTTCATAATGTGGACGTGTAGCTTTTTCAAAGTGTAATAGAGTATGTATTCTTAAAATGGCTCTTTTACACTCTGAAAAAGCTCCACGTCCACATTATAAAGCAAATATGGATCTTCTGGTTCAACTACTTGCATCTTAAAAGAATTGATATTTCATAACTCCGTGCCAAAAGTCCATAATACTTCTTTATAACATAAAGAACTGTGTTTTGAAATAGTTCAAACCCTTTAGGTGTAAAAGAGTCTAACTGTTAAAAAATTAAAAATATAATCAGATAAAATTAATTTAACAGGATATAAAATATTATTTTGTATTAAAATAAAATCAGATTACTTTAATAATATCATATTGCACATAAAACTAACATGTTATGTGGCCCCCAGTGCATGGATCATTCAAGCAAGCAAGTAGAAGTCCACATTCAGCCAAGTTCAATGTACTTTTGACATCAATACAAGTAAGTTTACGCAGTTTAGACTTCACATACTTTTCTAGGTACATAGCACCTACTTCAATAGCATAAAACCTAGACAATTCCACTAACTTTTTGATCGCAAGTGAACCCCTTTTCTTTAAATAGCAAAGAAAAAACATATGGCTAATCCCATTCACAAATCTCATTACTATAAAACCTATAGTTTCATCACAGCTCAAGTACCTCCATAAGATAGCTATTGACTACAGAAAAATTTGCCTTCAACATATTAAAAACACAATGCTTCAAATAATAAACACTCCCGGCTCTTGTAACCAAGACCTTCCTTTTCAAATAGTCCACCTTGTTAACAACATCAAATACTGAAAAGATATAAATATTACTAGTTGACAGATTTGAGAAAGTCATAATATAAATAGTAAAAAATGTTAAATTAAAAAAAAAAGCGTTAAAAACTAATAAGAAATGTTAAATTAAATTAAAAAGTGTTAAAGAAAACCCTTACCTATATAAGTATTGAAATCCTCAGATATTGTCCTCTTAGAACCAGAAATAACAAGAATATCGTCATTATCAAGCTTTATTACAATTATGGTTTCTTTGTAATTCTCTGCATAAGATAATATCGAACATAAGCAACAGAGAAAATAGGCAAACTATTGGACCAATTATGCAAATACTCAACAAAAACTCAAATTTCATCACATTAAAAATAGAAAGAAAAACTTAAATTTTCTTTCACTTTCAATAGGCAAACTATTATTGCATTCTCAGAATGCATTATTATTTTTCTAAATTTTTCTTAAATAGGCAAATTTGAGTTTTTCTTAAAATAGAAAGAACTAGAAAATATGCATGCGCGTTGCTGCAGGACTTGAATGTATTAGTCGCAACAGGCATGAATAGTTTCCACACAAAACAACTAAAAAGACGTAGCACCTAAGAATCAATGAAGAATTGGGACATCTTATATGCGAGTCTAAATCCCTATTGAACAAAAGTCCTATTTCTTCTTCAAATTGAATCAACATCATTGATCAAGCAATTAAACATTCCTACTGGCAAATAATTAACCCAAGAGTTGAGCAGATATATAGAGATTGGAATAAGGGGACGCACCAAAAGTAAAGGTCAACACAACTTTTCGAATTAAACTATATATCTAATTTACCAGAAAACTTTGTAAAATTGACAAAGCACTTAATTTTTCTATTTAAAACAGTTTACCCATTCTTGATAAATAAAATATAGCTTAAGCTTAATTTATTAACAGCTTAATGCAGTTCAAAAGTATTTTCTATTGTGACGAGAAGGAGAAGCTACAGCCACCCTCCTTTACTTTTTACTTTTTCCAGATGCATATCTATAGTTTACCTGCACCCTCATACCATGTGTCTTGAGCTGTTATCTATCCTCCACTTGCAGCATTTTCGCTCTTCTGCACGGAAACCTTGATAGCAAACAATTTCATCTGTTACCGGTTAATGGAGATGTCTTCTGCACAACTGGACTACAAAGAGGGAGAAAAACAGTATTAGGAAAACACATCATACTCAAAATCATCACACTAGAGATATTTTCAAACATATCACAATCCATCACACAAAGTGCATCAAACTCCAAGGCAAGACCAAGCAAACACACAAACTGTATAAAAACCCAATAAAGGTAGAAGTGTAACAATATTGTTATGCATCTGGATTTACTCATAGATAACGAATATAAGAATTTGATGATCTTGTTACTGCTCCAAGGAAAAATGAAATAAAATTCAATGGTTAAAATTAATCCTTATGTAAATGTATTCCCCACATCCATATCATTCAAGTACAATGAAATTCAATGGCTTCAACCAAAAGAAAAAGAATCCTGATTGACTTGAGTTCAGGACATTCAAGTACAATGTAATTGAAATATGTGCAAGTTCCTTGAAAACATAAGATACAAACAAAACTTAATCGAAAGTAGAAAGAAAAACTTGGACATGAGAACCGAAACTAATATTTGTAAAGGGTATAGTTTACTCTCATTATCATACTTTCTTTCTCTTGCTGTAAAACTGAAAGAGAAACACAGAAGGAAGATAACCAAATCCCATATAAATTAAGATGCTATCCAACGTCCCTAGTCCTTAGCCCCCCAATAGCCCAAAATCCCGATAGCACAAAAAATTATTACCTCCTTAAAAACATGTTCTTTCAAAAAGTTACATGGTGTCGGACATTAGGTACTTCAGGGTCATCTGCAAACCAAAATTCATCATTAACATCAACATAGTGCTGAATCATAACGAATTAGGAATCAAATTAAAGGGCCACAGCTAAATCACATTCCAAGCACATAAGGTTATTTGAACGAACACAAACCAAATACAGAACTCAGACTAATTGAACATAAATTTCAGCAAATACCCAGAACAAATAGCAATAACTTGACCATAACCCAGACCCAGATCACAAAAAGTGGCAAAGATAACCTCAATCCCACTTAAATCAAACAACCAGATGACCCAATCTCCCAAATATCACCAACTAATGATCAAGGCAGCTACAAAACAGAAAACAAAAATGTGAGTTCTAATTGAATTCATTCACAAACAATTACTAAAATTAAATTGGGTGTATCCACAAACTGACCATCCTAAATCTCCTGCTTACCTCTGTGAGTCACGTTGTTTGATATCTGCAGTCCATTGTCATTCGTCTTGACACATGTTTGAGTAGGGGACTGCATGAAAGCTACAATGTGCATAAAATGTAATTATCACTAATTATAGGCAATGAAATCAAACATACATAAATGGTACGATCTAGTTTTATTCATTTCCACAAAGCTCTCAGGTTCGACTCTTATGAAATGCCGTGTTTGATATAAATTATTAACAATACAAATACTCCAGCATCTTTTGAGTTTAAGTACTATTACTTAAACATGTTAACAAACCCATAAGCTGACTAATTCTAATTAGTTTCATGATGCAATTTCTATATACTTATATGAAGAACCAACAAAGTGAGTAAAAAGAAATTCTTAGTAAAAGAATTAGCCAATTCTAATCAACAACTACTAATCAAAAAGCAACATATGAGTTTTTCCGGCTTCAAACATAGAACCAACAGAGTCAAAGGTCTTCGTATGCATCATTAGGAAAAACTCATTATGGTATCAGAAATCATAACTTGAAGCTAAACCAAAAAAGGTAAGAGACAAACAATTGATGTTCTTTATGTCCATCTAAGAGATGCATAATAGCGGAATCAAATCATTTTTTTTATGTCCTATATAGTCTGGTAGAAGGTGCCCAATCAAAACAAAATGGATATCTGCAGAATCACATCCAACTTTAGTAGAATTCTTTAGTAGAATCACATCCAACTCTATCAATTACTTCTGAAATAGTAAAAAACCATGAAATTGTGCAGTCACTAAACTACAGAAATCACAAAAGAAAAACAACCCAATTCATAATTAATGAATGAAAGGAGTATAAAATTCAATCATGAACCAAGAAGCGTGAGAAAACATGTAGAAAGTTTTCTTATAAGAAAATTTGTATACATTTATAATTTAGTCCTTCTCGGGCTTAAAAATACCATGTACTACACATATTAATGTAATCAATCGCTCATATAATTCAGGAGGCAAAAACCAAAAGCCAAATTTTTTTCATTTCATGCCTTGAAAACACTCTTCAGTCTAGACAGTCCAAAAGGATATAATACTACCTAAGGACCCTCAGATCACTTGAAAGTGTATCCCAAGTGTGAAGGCTGTCAGCAAAATTGAACTCCTGTGTTAAGAGGAGGGTGATCCACTTAAATGCATAAAATTGGGGATTGACCTGCCATTTAAAATAGGAGCCCAGTCAGTCCTATATAAAGAATTCTAGTGATCTAAATATGATATTCTTGAATAACCATGAAACTTAATGTGATGAATATTTAAGCAGTATTTTAGTATTTATAAGGCTGTCGATAGGTGACACATAATAATTTTGTCAGCCTTCTTGGAAAAATTATCTATTTTGATAAAATCTCCAAGGAGATTAGTAATAAGAAGGTGATAGTCAGTCACTGGATAAGCTTGAACCCAGAACAATCTAGCTAAATAGTATCTAATGCCATTTCACGTCATCCTAATGGCATATAATGGTATACTAATGCATACATTCCTCTTCAATTACATTTACATAAATGTATTATGGCATAGCAAGTCCTATTTTATAAAAATTTAATTCTCCAATTTAACAAAGTTTGTCACCATAAAAATATATTGAAGAATCAAATTGAAAAATCCAACATAACCCAAATTTACATTAACAGGTAAACAGATGCTACATTAAAGAAAAAGAGAGCCAAGAACGGAATTTTACTTTGTTTCGTTCTCAGACAGTTATCGCCATAGATAAAGACCAATTGGAATGCAAAAATTAATAAAGTGAAATAAGCACACGTAAGTGTTATTTATAATTAAGTGAGTCTATACTAAGAATGCAGGGACAAATTCCAAGATGGCTTCTCCATCCTCGTTAGAGCTGTAATTGGCATTTAGAAAACTAAGTTGTAATCGAAAACCACCAGAGTGTTATTCAAAAACTGAGTCTATACTATTGAAACTAAGTCGTATGCTATTGAAACTAAGTCGTATGCTACAACCAACACTTCCAATATCAAAAGAGAAACAAATAACAGTATACGACGCATTAGCATAAAACTGCCACATTACATACCATCAAATGACAGTAACTAACTCCTGATATCAACTGCCGGAAGAAAAACCTTGCCCGATGCAAAACAACAATTAAATCGAAAAAGTATGGAAGTTTTAGTTATATTATGACCGACTGTTATGTAAAAATATGCTTCAGACCTAACTTTCCCTATCTGAAACGAAAATCGAAATGGATTCCATTTCAGGGGACATTCAGAGATCCCATATTTCAGACTCTACGCCAAAAACATTTACAATGAAATTTTCTCTGCCTTTGAAACTACTTAACCTCATCCTCACTAAATCTGCCAGCACTGCATATTCTCTCGAAAAGTTATCACCCAGCCGCGTACTCCATCACAATGGCTAGATGAGTTGGTGTGAGCAGGACCTGCAAGAAAGAAACCGCACAACTCTCAAGTCTTAAACAGAACCTCTTTATCAAAATTTAATTCTCCAATTTAACAAAGTTTGTCACCATAAAAATAAGATTTTCTAGAAAGAGCAAGATGGGCACATGGGGTTGATCTTAACCCTTGATTTGGAATCCTATGAAGCTCCCTTTCCTGATGCATGACACACGGGTGCGCCTCAAAAAAAAAAATATATATATATATATATATATAATTTTCTGTTTCCCTAGGACACGGTGTGAATTTAAGAGGGGAGAGAGCCGTTGGGCTCTGTGTTTGATGACTGACAGAAGACTGATGCCAGTTGCACGCCACTTTTCAAATTGCATGCCAGCTGCATGCCATTCAAAGCAGGGAATCCTATGCGTGTTTTCAAATGACAAATGCAGCTGCTACATCTGTTTCTATAGTAGCTGTTGCGCAAGTTGACACAAGTTTGACACTGTCCGTGTTGGTCAGCGCGTCTTCACACAGCCCTAGGTCCTGAGTTCGAATCCAGGTGCTTCTTTTTCTTTTTTTTCTATTTGTTCTATTATTTGTTTATTTTAATTTCTTTGTTTCTTTTCTGTTTTCCTTTGTCTTTTAGTTTATTTAATCGTTTTTGTTTTATCTTTTCCAGTTTTGTTTTTTGTTTTATTTTTTTTATTTTTTATTTTTTAGTTTCTATTTATTTTCCACACCTTGAGGACAAAGTGTAAAATAAGTTTGGGGGTAGGAAAATAACATTTTAGGTTTTTAATTTTTGTGTCAGTTTACATTAAAAATTTTCATTCTTTTTAAGTTAATATCCATAGATTATTTTAAACGTTAGAACAAATGGACATGGTAAAGATTAATCCCACAGTAGAGTTTTTTCTATTTATCGTTACTTAGACACTAATTCATGAATTATACTTTGAACTTTGCACATCACACCAACATGGTTTGTGGGGAGTGAGATTGAAACACTTGCTTTTAGTCTAAGTTTATTTTTAATTTTTGTTTTAAGTAAAGTCAGTTATTATTGTGAATAAAGTAATAATTGTCTCACCCGAGGTTTTGCCTAGTAACCGGGCCAGTCCTGCCTAATCAGCAGTGATTCTCGCGTCAAACGGTAGAGTTTTGGCATGGGGCAGGGTGGTTAGTTGGTTTCGTAGCCTTTTCAGCTCGGGTTAATAAGTCCTTAGGGGTGTTCTACACCTAGTGCCCTAAAGCCCTAGTGGTTTGGGAGTCATTGACCTAAAGCTCGTTACATGGGTTGGATCAAAAGCTTAAGTAAACCGACATTGCACGACCACTACTGTTACTAAAAAAAAAAAATTGAAAAGAAAAAAAAGAAAATGAAAAATAGTTATATTTAAAGTTAGTATGTGTGAAATAAAGAAGGACGAGAGGTAAGAGTTTTAGTCGAATCTCCTTAACTATGTGGTTCACTTTACACCAAAGGAAGTTTGTGAATTCTTTTCTAATTGATTCTAAATGGTTTAGACTCTGTGGTGGGATTGGTTGGAACTTTTGAAAAAATGTTCTAGTTTTTAAAATTTGCTATGGATTGCAACTTTGAAGGTGAAAATTTTTGTCATTTAATTTTAGCTAGTTGTCTAGTTTGTTAAGTTTTTATTTTTGTTTGAGTCTTGTTTTGCTTGAGGACAAGCAAAAAGCTAAGTTTGGGTGTATTTGATGAGTATATTTTATATTATATATTTTACCCTAATCTTAGTATATTTTTGTTAATATATTGGAAGAATTTTGATACTTTGAATTGTATTTTCAATATAGGACTTTCGACTTCCTCTGGAGCAAAATAGGATCAAATTGACGAATTTTGGAGTAATTCTAGTTGGAGGACGTTCGTGAGTCACTTAGCTTGATCGTATCAAAATTTGGGATTTTTCCACCAAGCGGTTATTTTCTGGCGATAAAATAAAGAAGCAGTGCGCAGTGTTGGAAAATGACGTTTTTGGGCTTAAATTGCATTTTTGGAGCCCAAGATGACCTCGGATGGGTTCGTGGTCTTCTGGAAAAGTGTTCAGAATATTCCAGACATTAAATCCAGCTATATTTGGCCAGTTTTGGAGCAGCTTATGGGTCAAAACGTGGCTGTTCAGCTTTTAGACGAATTTTATCATTTAATTTAGGGTTATGTTTCCTAAGTTTTAGGGGGATTTAAATTAATTTTAGTTTCCTAGGGTTTGTGTTAGAGGCTTAGCAAATATATTGCTTGGCCACCTACAGTTTTTGGGAACGCTTTCTTTTATGCAATTTTGGAGATAGAGAGAAGTGCTAGAGTTTTGGAGATTTTCTACTTGAAGGTGTTTTCAATCCTTTTCTTAATAATATTTTCTACGATTCCAATTATGAATATGCAGAACTAATTTCTTTTGCTAGGGCGAAACCTTGAGCCTTAGCATGAATATGTGATTTTTATTTAATTGCTTATGATTGATTGCATGCATATTTTGAATTGTTAATCATCGAGATAAAAACTATCTAATTGTCTTAATGCCTGATCACCATTAGGATCTTTAGAAAAGTAATTTGATGCAATTTTGGTCGGAAGGTTCCCTGAAATTGACACTGGCTTCTTGTGATTAATAATTGTAATTTCACTTAGGATGAATATCACGTCTTAAGGATTGCATGGTTTTTCAAAGGATTTTCATAAAGCATAATGAGTCTTTCATGTTCAGATTTGATCCGAACGTCCGGACGGGTTGCATGTTAGATATACGTTCTATGTTGGAGGGTCCAAGTAGAATATGAATTAGGAAAATCTAACCTTCAAAGTGGCATGTATAGATCATAAGTAATGGGTAAAAATTCATAGGATTGCTAGGTGATGGTGGAACCCTAGTGCTTTCTTAATTTTATTCTCCCAAAACTGTTTTCTTTTCTCTAGCTCTAATATTGCAGATTGTTTATTTTAATTCATTAATTTCGTTTTTATTTTAATTAGGTTATAAAATCAATCACTTCAATTTCTACTTTACAATAATTAAATGGAATCTGATTAGTTCGAATTATTTAATAATCTCTGTGGAGACGACCTTGCGAAATCCGTTTATACTACAATAACCTTGTGATTCTTGCAAGTAAAATAGGAGATTTAAGCCCGTTCACATGAGTAGTAAAAATCCTATCACGTAACTGTTTAAATAGGAAGGAATGGAAGGAAAAAGAGATTAAAATGAGAGAGAATTCTACTTATTTATTTATATGATTAGCTGTAAAGTTTATGCCCCTTGATTTGATGTAATTTTCTTTTGAGTAAATTATATAATAACCCATCAGGTTTGAGGTCTATTACAACTTCATACAACATATTTGAAAACATTTTACTTTCATACCTTACGTACTATTTTATTTCAAAATAATACGTCCGTTAGATTTTTCATCTATTAGTCTGTTAAATGCTGATGTGGCTACCATGTGGCAAAAAAAATAATTTTTTATATATTAAAAATATTATAATATTAACCCTATTAAAAAAAAAATATATATATATATAATAGGGTAAAAGACTGTTTACTACCCTCATGTTTTGTAATTTTCAACATTTAGTACATCAAATTTTTTTCGTCTCAGATTCATACCTAAAGTGTAAATTTTAGGACAGTCTCATACATCCGTTAGTCAAACTGTTAAATCTGCCGTTAATTGTGACGTGGCGCCATGATTGGGTGTCACTTGTCATCCACGTTTTTTTTCTTCTTTCTTCTTCTTCCTTCTTCTGCAACTTTTTTTTTCTTCCTCCTCCTTCTTCCTTCCTCCTTCTTCCTTCCCTTTCTTCTCCTTCTTCTTCTTCTTCTTCTTCTTCTTCTTCTTCGAATCAGTGGAAGATGAAAGTTTTTTTTTTCTTCCTCCTTCTTCTCCTTCTTCTCCTTCTTCTTCCTTCCCCTTCTTCTTCTTCTTCCTTCTTCTTCATCCGAATCTGGGGAAGATGAAGGTTTTTTTTTTCTTTCTTCTTTCTTCTTCTTCCTCCTTCCTCCTTCCTCCTTCTTCTTCCTTCTTCTTCTTCTTCCTCCGACTGCAACTTTTATTTTTTTTCTTCCTTCTTCTTCTCCTTTTTTCTTCCTCCTTCTTCCTTCCCCTTCTTCTCCTTCTTCCTCATCTTCCTCATCTTCCTCAAAAAAAAAAAAAAAGAACTTCCCCAGATTCGGAGGAAGAAGAAGAAGAAGGAGAAGGAGAAGGAAGAAGGAGAAGAAGGGGAAGGAAGTTCTTCTTCTTCCTCCGAATTTGGGGAAGATGAAGGTTTTTTTTTTTTTTTCTTCCTCATTTTTCTCCTTCTTCTTCCTTCCCTTTCTTCTTCTTCTTCCTTTTTCTTCATCCGAATTTGGGGAAGATGAAGGTTTTTTTTTTCTTTCTTCTTTCTTCTTTTTCCTCTTTCCTCCTTCCTCCTTCTTCTTCCTTCTTCTTCTTCTTCTTCTTCCTCTGACTGCAACTTTTTTTTTCTTCCTTCTTCTTCTCCTTCCTCCTTCCTCCTTCCTCCTTCCCCTTCTTCTCCTTCTTCCTTCTTCCTTCTTCTTCATCTTCCTTAAAAAAAAAAAAAAAAAAAAAAAAAAAAAAAACTTCCCCAGATTCGGAGGAAGAAGAAGAAGAAGAAGAAGAAGAAGAAGGAGAAGGAAGAAGAAGGAAGAAGGAGAAGAAAGGGAAGGAAGAAGAAGGAAGGAGAAAGGAAGAAGGAGGAAGGAGAAAGGAAGAAGGAGAAGGATGAAGAAGAAAAGGAAAAAAAAACGTGGATGACACGTGGCGCCCAGTCATGGCGCCACATCATAATTAACGGCAAATTTAATAGTTTGACTAACGGATATATGAGACTGTCACAAAATTTACACTTTAGGTATGAATCTGAGATGAAAAAAAACTTGATGTACTAAATGTTGAAAACCACAAAACATGTGGGTAGTAAACAGTCTTTTACCCTAAAAAATAAAAATAAAAAAACCAGAAAAACCCAAACCCAGAAATCCTTTCCCAAGTCTCTCTCGGGTCTCTCACTCCCTCACTCTCTTAGGTCACTCTTCTTTCTCACTCTTTCACTCTCGGATTCTCTCCCCAACAGTACACCCAACGCACCCATCTACACACCACCGATGACACACCACCACCACCGTGGACTCTCTCTCTCACTCTCCCTCATCTCTGTGGAGCTAGGTGAAGCCTATCTCCTTC